AAAATAAATTTATTAATAAAAATTATTTCGTATTTTTCGAAATATTTCGAAATTATTTTGAAAATTTTTAATTATTTTGAAATTCTTTTGAATATTTCAAAATATTTCAAAATAATTTCAATATATTTGAAATATTTCAAATTTTTCTAAATTTTTCCAATATTATTCGAATTATTTTTTAAAATTTTGTAAATTAGCCGAAATTCTTTCGAAATTATTTCATTTCTTTTGCAATATTGTGAAATTATTTTATTTCGAAATAATTTTGCGTCAATCATAGTTATTTCGAAAGATTTTCGATATGCAAAATCTTTCGCAATATTTCACTTATTTATTCTGCTGATGTAGCTTTGCATTATTAACAGAATCGTTCCTAAGACAGGTTGGTGAATATTAAAGTTAAGTTTTTAAAGTACAATGGTTTTTTAAAGTACAATCTGATGAAATTTTAAATCATATTATAAAAAAGACAATTCAAATTGAAAGTTCTATTATAAACAATATAAAAAAAAATTGGATAACAGTTTTTTTTAATGCCAATACATTCATATAATAATCTACATGCTGCATAAATTGTATTCTTGATATCTATATAACCCATTAACCATAACTGAATCAAAAAAGTAACTCTAACTAGTACCTGGCCCTAATTCATCACAATACCCCTCACTCTTCCAAAATTCGATTTTTTGTATCCTATGTATGAATCGATTATTATACTCCAAACTGGTACTGTACTTTGATAATTTATACTAAATATATTCTAAAATAAGTGTCATGTATATTCTAAAAAAAAAAATTAGTTAATATATAATAAAGTATAAAATTTTACTAATAATAACTTTAACTTCGTCATAATACCCCATTTTACCTTATATATATATAAATAGATTTGTACTAGTTATAAAAATATACTAATAAAAGCAATATATAACTCTTTCTGACAATCACTTGCAGGAGGCACCCTTGTATAACAAATTTTAATAGAAATCTTGGCTTCTGTTAATGAAGTTAAAATAGTAAGCCTTATAGAAGAACAATAAACAAATTTTCAATACACTTACTAGAAATTCAAAGATACTTGCTAACCGAACACCACTACCATATTCTTCGCTTGGTTTTTGATGAAAGTTTTTACAAAAAGTGAAAATTTAACATACCCTCTATAAAAGATCTACAAAAATCATCCATTTTGGAAATAAGAGAATTATCCCTTTTCTGAAATTAGGAGTAGCTCTAAGCGGAATGAAAAGGCTAACTGTAAAACTGGTGAAGAAGAAATTAAACATCAACATCTCTATTATTGAATTATATTTACATATAGTATAGACCTATTCCTAGAATAGAGACTAGAAATAGCAATACTATATAATTTTTACAATTTGTTCTGGTTGAGGCTTCGACCCTCTTTTTGTTTTTTCTTTTTCTTACTATTATGTGTTTGTTTTGTTGTTTTGTTTTAATTTGAGATTTATTTGTTTATTTTTGATTTTTTTAATCATGTTCTTATTTGTATTCAATTTTATAATACTTTTTTTTTTTTGACCCTTTGAGAAGAAGAAAGAATTTAAAGAAAGGATTAAAGACAGTTAATGCTTGTCCTGGAAGAAAGAAATCCTTTCTGATATGACTTTAAGTAGTCAGATAAGCAATCTACCTCTAACTGGAATAATGCAGCAAGTCACACTTAGGTACCAATAAGGTGACCGGGTGATGCTGGACTTAGTTATTAGGAAAATTCTATGTAGTTATTTTATATAATTGCAAGAATCTTAATAAAGTACTAGCATGGCTGCTTAAGAACAAAAAAAAAAAAATACTAATAAAGACTAAAAGGCATGACCTTACTTTAAAAAAAATAAAAATAAAATAATCTAATTCTGATTGTTAATTGGAACAACCCAAATACAAATTGGTCAAATCTAACTTTAATGCCTAGGCTAAATTAATTTACTTTTTGGCCAGATTGTCATTTGGAAAAATTGCCATTTGGGATTTGGGACATATATAAAAAACAAAATTTTTTTAAAAAACCATCTGAATAGTAAGTACCGTATCGTCACGAAATAACGCCCGGGGCGTTATTTCGAGTTTTGTAAATTTTGGCATGGCCGGGTTATGAGAACCTATTATTAAGTTTGTATAGCCTAACCTTTAGAATCTTTGAAAAACGTCTTCATTTTGTTAAAATTAATTGTAATTTGATTTTTTTATTGATGCAAATACTTATTATTTTGGTACGTATAACAAAACCTTTTGATTATTTCAGACCCTGATATTTTTGACGTAGTGAGCTTCATATAACAGGCGTTTTATCATTATTTCACAAAAGGAAAGCCATTATGCCGTGTTTTTTACAATAACGATAAATAAAGTAGCACCAAAGCATTTACTAATTTCTTCCACATCTTCTATTGGCTGGAATTATTTATATGGCATCGCCTTTTTAAAAATGTGACATAGCTAGCATTAGATTTTACAATGAAACCTCTCTAAGCGCATGCCTTGGGACCGGGCTATGTTGTGTACTTAGAGAAGGTATGCATTTATATCAGCATCTATAGGATTAAGACAATACTCGTCATTTGTTAATTTATTATCTACTTTTCCAAGAATAGGTCTGGGCTGGGTTGGGACCAGGTTATAGCGTGCATTTAAAGAGGGTGTACACTTAGGGAGGGAGGTTTCACTGGAGTAGGAGAAATTATATGTGATTTTTCGTTGTTTTGCTATCACGTTACACCAAATCTTGTCCCTGTGACTGATTCTGATTGGCTATAATCGGAAACTGTGGGGGAATTAGGAATGCAGCACCGAGCTGTTTTTCTATATATAAACAAGTTTTACAATTTTTCGCGACCTTTTAGTCAACAAAATGTCTGAAATAAAGGTGAAAAAAAAAGCGAATTTCATTAAATATTTGTTATTCAATTTGGATTTTAATTGATATATCTAATAAATAGGTCGAAAGTGCAGCGCAACTTGAAAATGAAATAAAAAAAATTCAAGAAACATTTCAAGTAAAAGAAACAGAGCATACGTGGCAGTTGTTTGATGATGCGTTAAAACGTTTGGCTTCTTTGAGTCGTGGCGGTGCTATCAACTATGAAAAAACATTCATATCTGGGATAAAATCTTTGAGGCAGCCTATTCTGGATTCGGTAATGTATAAAAAATTGAGCAAGTTGGACGTATGAATAATTAAGGGTTTTCCAATACAATTTTTTGCCTATACTAAACAGATACTTACGGATCGGACGCGATTGTCTGGAACGGCAACAGAATTAGTTGAAGAACTTGGCAGAGTTCTCGGACCGAAATTCGATACACTTGCGGAATCGTTCGTGCCAGCTATCCTGAAGCTATGCACGCGCGCAAATAAAATTTTTATTAGTAGAGCTCAAAAATGTATGATGACAATAATTCGAGGGTGCCATGTTCCGAACTTGATTCCAAAATTTAAAGAAGCATTGCAAGGTCAAAGTAAAATATTGAGAACTTGCGCATCTGACTTTGTTCTCGTTAGTATTGAGGTAAATGATGTTGGAAATTTGAATAATTATATTGCTGATTTGGAGTGGATTATTAGAGAGGGGGCAATAGATTCTGCGCCAGCTGTCAGGGCAACCTCAAAGAAAATTTTAGAGATTTACAAAGTAAAATTTGATTTACGACTAGAGGAGTGAGTTACCATTTATATAAACATAAGATTTTAACACTATGCTTTATATTAACACAAAACTTCGTAAATTCAGGTTTGTTAACACATTATCTCCTAATGCGAAAAAAAATTTGGGAATTCAGGAACGAACAAGTAATCAGCGTCCACGTATTAAAACATTACAAAAAAGTCGTAAATATAATGTGCAACAAATGCAGGATGACGTCATTATATACATGAAGAATGATGAAAATGCTAAAGACAAAAAACCCAATAATGTCATATCTGAAAAAACGGCAACGGTTCAAGATGATATTACATGTACTGGAGCTGGTGAGTTCGATCAATAATGGTCCCGACAAAACATCGCATAATGTGTACTTATATAATGTTAGTGTAAAATGGAATGAAATAATGCTCAATGTACTTATAATAACTACATCGGTTGGAACTGCACAAAGGAGTTGTTCAACGTGTCAAGTCCAAAGATCGAGCAGGAACAAATCAAGAAGAAAAAACAAAAGCTAGTCGAGTTTTGAATACTAGCAAATCCAACAATGCGAAACCTACACGACCACCCTTACCATCCCGCACGATAAATGTACCAGTCGTAAGCTCTAATAAGACCAAACCTGTACAAACATCAACAAACAAGAAAAAATCTGCGCCGTTTTCCTCATATAAACCACCTTTGGTGAAGGAGTCAAAGGTTGCTATAAATTCTATACCAAAACCATCAAAAGTGACAGCAACTGCCACGTCAACAGCAGAAGGGCTGACAACTACGGCAACCATATCGGTGTCAATTTCTGCTGCATCTACTCCGGACCGAACACAATCAATGTCCAAATATGCGCCTTCAAGCGCACGTATTTTCGGCAGAACAAAAGATCGTCAATATACACCATATGAAAAGCCTGCCATCGGATTCGCTACGCGGAAATATAAAAACAAAATACCACAAGATTCTTCGGAATTAAGTGCAAAATTAAACGCTTATGCTAACAAAATAATTGAAGAATTGACTGGGCAACGTGAAAATATTGAAGACAATGAAAATATGACTTTGGAACTTATTCCAAAATTAGAAGAACAAATTTTCGAGACCAATACGCAAAGAAGTAGGGTATCTCTTAAACAAGCACTATCAGCCACGCAATTAATTACTCCTATACCATCGAAGCCTTCCCCTCCACTTACATTTATTGATCCTGTAAAGTTTTTGGAAGATGTTCGTGGGGCTGATGTTAGGGATGGTAAAGTTAGTTTAGGTTTGGTTTAGGGTCTAAAACCAAATCTAAGTTAAATCTGGTTTGGTTTGGAACCAAATTTTAAGATCTGGTTCTCAATATTTTGTAAGACATAAATAAAAATATATTAATAAAAAGTATTCAACTTTTAGAATATATTCAACCTTTTTTTATAATGAACTAATGGTTTTTATTGTAAAAAAATTTTTAAAAGTTTTTAAAGTAATTTATGTTTTTATATTGGACTTTAATAAATTTTTTGTTTAAAAAGGTTTGCTATAAAAAGATTGTTTACATTATGCCAATTGTCAAACCTTTCTATAATTACACCTTTCGGAATAATGTTATGCTTATAAAAAGATTTTTACTAAGATGTGTTTATAAAAAGATTTTTTTTTAACTATCCCGATGACAACATCGTGGGGCGTTAGGGTGTTCAACAAACTAATTAAATCAAACATTATTTAGGGTGCATATGATAAAAATTTTTATGAAAATCCGAAATTACTGCGGCTAATAGTAACTTTCGGTACATTTTTCTTTTGAACTAACATAATAATTGCTAGTTTAATTTTTAAAAAAAGAGATATTAACTTGCTTAGAATAACGTAACAATGGCAGTTTTTCGATTTATCATTTTTATAGGTAGTTGATTCTACAAAAGGACAAACCGATTTTACTTGAATTTTGACAATAATAAATTTATTAAATTTTGCAAAACAAAGGTTGTCATCGAAAAGAGTGAAGCAAAAGCTACAAAATAAAAAAAAATTTGTTATAAAAATATTGTGTTCTTAACTCAAAAATCGTACCTTTATCTAGTGAATTAAAAAAAATAATATGTTCGATAAATAAAGAAAATAATAAGTTAAAGTTAAATTTTCTGAAATTTCCGAAATTATTTAAAAAACCGGTAAAAAATCCTTACATATGTACCCCGACTATGATTTGATTTACCTATTATTTTGAACACCCTAGTGGGGCGTGTATGGCGCTCTTTTTATTAATTACTATTTACATATTAGAATAATTCTAAATTAAATATTTATATATTTTTTTATAGATAGGATTAGTGAAACTTTTGTTATAAAGCAGGTTAATCTTTTTAGAGATTCTGTTTTTTGTAATAGTAAAGAGTACAGAATCTGAGTGTTATATGCTTTTTCATTTGTAGGTTGCATAACGCATCAGATTTTTTTTTTTTTTTTTTTTAAGCAGTCATGCTAGTGCTTTATTAAGATTTTTGAAACTACTACTGTAATTACATAAATTTACCTAACAACTAAGACTAGCATCACCCAGCTACCCTAATGGTATCTAAGTGTAACCTGTCACATTACTTCTAGCAGAAGTAAGCTGCTTGTTTAACTACTTAAGGTCCATAATGAAAGAGTCTTCTTTCTTTTATAACAAGCTTGTTAATTGTCTTCCTAATTTCTTTTTTTATTTACTCTTCTTTTTTTTTTGTTTTCTTTTTTTTTTCTTCTATTGCTTGCTAATTAGCCTTTATTTTTCTCTTTATACTTGTCTTTATTTTTTCTTTTAGTTTTCTTTTTTTCTCTTTACTCATATTCCTCTTTCTTTTTTCCATGTGTTAACTTTTTCATAACAGATTCTTCAGACTTGTTTATAGAATGTATTTTATGTTGTTTCTGCTAATATGTTTGCAAAATGTTGTCTTGTTTTCGTACTTAAGATTTGAGATAATCTGTCTTGCATTGTTCTTGGGATTAGGCCTTTGATCAGTGTTTTCCTTATTTCTATTTCTTCTTGTTCTGTTTGTCCATATATAGTACTTGAGGTGGAACTCGTATCTTTTTTTTTTCTTTTAAGCTGTTCTATACTGTTGTAATAGATATTTTCTGTATCCTTTTTCATAAATTTACTTGTTTATTGTATGATATCAAATGTTCTTATATTTCTTTAATTTTATTTTGGCAAACTTGGTATTCTGCTATTGTATATATATTTGGCCTTCCAACATTGAGAGTTTGTCCAATATATATTTCATAAAAGCACTTCTTCTTATACTACTTCTTTTTGTTAAATAGTATATTTCTTTAAATGAATTTAGTCTTCTTCAAAAATATGTCTAATCATATATTCTTACTTTTTCTTCTAGTTCAATATTCTTGATTGCTATTGTTTCTTTTCACTCTACTCTCAGTCTGGTATTTGTTACTATTGTTATAGAATGATTTATTATTATTTTATTATTATTAGTTATTATTATTTTATTATTATTTAGTATTAGTTATTCTATTATTGTATTATTATTATTATATTACTAGTAGTTGTTAGAACTTTTCAGTTGATTAGTAATCACTTAGTCACTTAGTCGCTTAGCCACTTAGTCGCTTAGTCACTTAGTTGCTTAGTAATTAGTTACTTAGTAATCATAAGTTATTAATTGCTGGAACCTTCTGGTCACTTAGTAATTGCTTAGTTGCTTAGTCACTTAGTTGCTTAGTCACTTAATCACTTAGTTGCTTGATTACTTAGCTGCTTAGCTTACAGATATATAAAACCTGCTAAATTTTCCAAGTATGATTAAGCAACAAACACCCTTCTTTCCTTTAATATTGTAAACACATTTTGGGATTCTTTAGGAAAAAAAACCTAAGGATAGCCCTTTTTGTTATTACTTTAATAAACAGTTTTTGACTATAAACTGTATTAATACTCTTTCTCTAGAGTAATTACTACAGGCAAGGTTTATTCCCTCTTAGTAAAATAAAGTAAAGTTCTTAGTATTGCATTACCTTTCCCAAACTGCCTTAGAGAAAGGTATAGTTTCTTGACAATGTCTAACAGAAGCTATACTTCTCTCTTGGACATCACATATACTCATAAAAGATTCTCTGTGCTATGTCGTCATTATAGTGTGAAAATTAAGAAGGCTTTCACCTATAACATCTGATGCCTTCTAATGGAAAGTTTAAATTTTTAGAGAAAAACAAGTCACCCCAGATGAAACATACCTAGATGTATTAGAAAAGTTATCTCAGCAAGAGACCCAGACATATTGGAAAAGTTATCTTGGCAAGAGACCCAGATATATTGAAAAAGTTATCCTGACAAGAAACCTGAACGTATTGGAAAAGTTATCACACAAGAAACCTAGATGAGTATTAGTTATCCCGACAGAGTTCTGAATATAGAAACACCACTTCTTTATAGTTCATACTGCTGCTAAACTCCACAATGAAAATATCCAAAGCCATTAACAAGCACATTTAACTGAACCTCATCTTGCAATATATGTACTTCAAGCACAGCATTCAGATTTATCTTGTTTACAGTATTACTTTCCTTAACATACTAGTCCTCACTCAGATTTTGGATGATTTTGGACTTAGTACCAAACCAACTTTGAAGCTCAACATTATTCTTCCCAAACTCAGGACAACTTTACTGTTCTTACTACCCTATATCCAAACCAGATTACAATCTGCCTCTATATTAGAAATATTATTTTTAGTTGTCGATACAAACAAGACCTTGGTGACCTCACACAATTGCTTTAACTTTAGTTAGAAGATACACTAATCTCTTTCAACTTTCTACTATACCTTTTAAATATCAAAATGCTTTTGACCTTTATCTCGACACTTCGCAAAGTTTTAGTTTTGAAGAACCAGGAGAATTTAGTCGACATCCTGGAAATTTAGAAAATCCTATACTACCACCTACCACTAATATTACTTATACTGATAATATTCCCTTTTTACATGACCCAGCAGATAGCTTAGTTCTGTATAGTGAATTAGTTACACCTACTGAACTTTCTGAAAGTCATTATACTCCTGATTGAACTCCACAAATTTCTCTACTACTCATTAATAATATAGAAACAGAAGAATATATTACTACTTCTGTAGACCTTACAGAAGCCTCTAATTCAGATCATACTTCTACTGACTCACCTCAACAAACTTTTAAAAATAGTCCTTCTTCTTCACTACCACCTCAACTTGTTATTCCCATACTTCAACTTATTGCTATTCAACCTCAACCTATTCAACCTCAACCTATCACTGTCCAATTCCAACCTATTGTTATTCAACCTCAATTTCAACTTCTTTCTCCACTTTTACCTATTCTTAATAACCTTCTAGATCTACTCGACAATATGACACAACAGGCTTTACAAGATGCTATACAAGCTATGGCTAACCTTACCAATGCTCTAAATAGAAGTGAAAAATCTCTTATAAAAGCTGACTTCTTTTATGATAATAGAACCCAAGACCCAGAACAACGGCTTAAAGATTTTTGAAAAGCTGCTATCACTAACAAGTAGGATGTTGCTCAAAAATTGGAACTAACTCTTGTATATTTAAAAGAAATTGCATTAGATTGGTGGCAAAGTCTTAACCCTGCTCCAAATGCTTTTAATAATAATACCCACCAAGATAGAAGCTTTAAACATCTTTTCAGGCTTCGCTTCTATACATCTAAACAAAAAGCTATTTAGCAGAAACAGCTTTTTGATATTAAACAAGGCTCAGACATAGTAGATGCCTATATCAATTGCTTTAGACAATTAAAGAAATAAATTGACTCTAATTATGCTTTTCCTGTCAACTTTACCAAACAATTATTTATCCAAGAACTACATCCTAAATTTTCTATTAATAAGCAAGCTAACGAACCTGCTAACCTAAATGCTGCTATTATCATTGCAAAATAATAGGAAACTGAACATATAATAGCTGCCAACACTATTACAAAAATAGACCAAGCTATTAAACAACTAACAGACCAGATTGCCAAACTTAGTATCAACCTGGCCTAGCAATAGCAACCACCTCAATCTCAATCTACTAACTATGCAGCTACACCTAATCCTAATAGGCCTCAAGCCAAAGACTCATATCACTGCTACTACTGTAGATTTGCAGGACATTTTATTGCTAAATGTAGAACTAGACGAGCTGAACAACAATTCAACCAAAGAGATAATTATAGAAAAAATGATAGATGCAACCAAAGGTCTTGCTCTC